GACAGCAACATTTTGCGACTGACGTATAACATCAAGTTCAATCTTGGTCAAATTTTTTATTAATGAATCTCCCTATTGATGAAAAGCTTCTAGAATTTTTTACGTAGGATATATTTTTACACTCGGACTAATGCTGTTTCTACTTTCTATTCGAAAACTTTAGCTCAAAATCCAAATTTGCCAAACGCGCGTTAAATTTGTAAAACCACTGTATTATTCTCGTGTAACGGAAGTTAAGGAAATTAATCGTGCCCAAAAAATAATTTATTGATTTCTTGAGTTTTTTTATTTTTTTTTTTTTTTTCTAGCGGGGATCATCCCCCTTTGGAGATGGTAGTAAAATCTTCTGACATCACGTACGTTAACCTCTGCGGGGGGATTGTGAAAGAACGGAAGGGAGAGAAGGGCGGAAGGAAACGAGAGTGAGATGAAGAGGGTGAGAGGGGTGAAATGGGCGCAATCTATGCATCTGAGTTGTATCGGCGGCTGAAATCGTTGGTGACGTCACGTGTTACAAACACGTGTACTGCCAGCTGTTTTCGACATCTGCGTATATACACCGCCTTGAAAATTATGCGAAAAATTATGCGTTCACGCGTGGCACGCATTCATTAACTCGTACATTTCGCTATACTCAAAAAGAGATACTATTGAAAATATATTAATTTTATAATTTGTAATATATTTAGACTGCAAAGTATAATGAAAGTTTCCAATTATTTTTGTAAAAAAATTAAACATAGTTTTTTTAATTTTGTTAACAATGTTCTCTTCTCTTCTCTTATTTTATTTAATAAAATCAGAATCAAATTTTTACGTTCGATTGAAACACATTTCACACGTCACTTTTCATAAAATATTAAATACTTGAAAAATCTGCGATCTTTTTTTCCTACAAAGTAGTCCATGAAGTTTTCTTACCGTATCATGAAGGTTCAAGAAAGACGAAGATAATTAAACGGTTCGAAGATAAAAAAGACATCCATATGACTTATAAAAGTATCAATTAATGTCACTGCATTCGCGCTCAGTGATAATAATTTGCGACAAGATAATTTTAAGCATGACAACCTTCATAATATGTTCAGTTAAGCTTACTGTTTTTTTAATCAATGTACGTAATTCAATGTTCTCCTGTGCACCTGCTTTTCCATTTTAACCGCCGAACCACCGTATTACGCATTTTACTTCGATGCAAATACTCAAGAAGGAAAAATTCTAATTGTATTGTTCACCGTACTTAATATTAACGCCGTGAATCATTATTACTGAGCATGGACGTAAAAAGTTTAGTAAAAGTTTAATTTTAAAAATTTAAATCTTAGTACTAAGTTAAAAACGTTATTACAAGGGCGACGTAACAAAACTATATATACTGTAAACAAGTACTTACACTTAGTTACCTAATAAACTTCTACCGGAAGGTCCTAGGACTTACCGAATTAAACTTCCTTTTCCTTTTACGTTTCGTTTTTTTTCCTTTTTTCTTTTTTTTTTTCTTTTTTTTTTTTTTTTTTTTTTTTTTTTTTTTTTTTTTCTTTTAACTTGGTACTCGTGCCAGCGCAAGACTGGTCCGGTCATAAATTGAGTCTTCCGTTTCAATTATTTTCCGCGATTATTCAAGCTACATCCGGCAGGAGCAAAGCCGTCGTCGTCGGAAAGTTTCCCGCCCACGGCGCAAGAATCTGCGCTGAGATTCGCTTTTTCCTATTCGCCCGGGTTAACGAAGTCTTCGAAGTTTCCGCGGGCGGAATTCTCGATTACGAAAGAAGTGCGGTAGCATTGCATTTTTCATTCGTGTTGCCAGTTTGCGAGTTTTCCGTGGCAGGAATGTAAAGGGAGGTATGCAACATCGAGCAATGGCGCGCGCGCGCGCGCGCGTACGTATGTGACAATGGCGGAATGCTGATCGGACATTTTTAACAGAAAAGAAGTTAATTCTTCCTTTCTTTTTTATTTTTCGTGCAGAGTAGAATGCGCGCAAAATATCGAGCGTGTGTTTCGCTGTCAGTTGCAGTGCAGACTACCACCAGTGCGCTACGATGCATGCTTCACTGCTTGCTGCTTGATGTTCGTTGCTTGTTGCCTGCTTCGTTGTCTGTTCTCGGTGATAGATCACGTGCTATCCTCCGCGCGTGTTTCGCTACACGCAACTAACGCGAACCAATCGCAAAAATTGTCGGAACTTTTCTTTTCACCGCGTGCTCCATGATGATTTCAAATCAATCATGCCGCAGACATGGCACGCACCTCGCTGATAATTAGACAGATTATCACTTAAAGAAGAATTTTCTTGGAAAATTACAAGTCTCGTCATGAGCAGAATAATAAACTTCCAACTATTAAACAAATAGAATAAATAATTCACATTTTGGAGCTAAAATTTATTTTGAAGATTTGTTCTGGAAATTTTTCACTTCCAATCCGTTTCACGAATTGAAAGGAATAAAAGAAAATTGAAAACGTAAGATATATTTTATTTATTTAAGATATTACACAAATGATTTTTCTGAAAAACATTTTTACGGAAAAAACAATTTTGTTGATTCAGATCTGACAATAATTTTGTTGAATCAAAAAAAATAATTACGTAACACGATTGCTAGATTGCTTGCAAAATTTTTTTATTATATTATCATTATATTTAAATGTTTTAAATATTTTATATTTCAACAAAAATTATTTTCAGATCTGTACCTAACCAATTTTTAGATATTTCAGGAAAAATGTTCTTTTCGTATTGGATTTAAATTATTTCAAATATATATTTAATATATATTTTACGCGTGAAAGAAACGTACTTTCAACATAGATAATCGATTCAACATAGATAACCATTATCACCAACGTTGGAGCTTATATCGTGTTTTGTCGGAGTTTGTCATTCCGCGATATTGTCCTAGAATAGGTAAAGCTTCCATCGGATTTACTATCAGTGCTCCCCATTGGTTCTCGCAGCGTTATACAGCCTCTACCTGATAGCAATGTAGCACACCATTGGCGGACTTGCTATTCTGTATATTCAGAATGTTTAATCTGGAACATAGAATATCTATATATGATTTGTTCTAAGATTTCACCATCTTATATTGTATTATACGTCATTTTTTTCATTAAAAAAATCATTATTAAAAATGTACCTGTTTATGTTAGGAACTTTGAGATTTGACCGCTTTTTATTGCATATGATTGCAATTTAAATGCAATTTAATTTGCTATTATTATAAATATGAAATTTGTATTGTAAATTTAATTTTCCAACTGGGTATTTTTTTAGATTTAAAAGTCACTATGACGTTTTTTTATCCAATACTTAGCCTAATTAATTGTATATAATAGAAGAAGAATTAATTAACTGGCATACATTTGCAACATTTGAAAAGTTTGCGACGTTTTTGCGTAATACATAACATTTCTGTCCGTCGTGTTCATTCGTTCGTTGCACATATTATACTTACCTATATCGGATCGTTAAACGAAGCCCTTCTGTCTGTATTGGGAAAGTCATCCGTGGCTTCCGTGGAAAAGCCATGGGAACCCATAAGCAAATAGCACCTCGTTAGCCAATCCTATTGCGCGATGCGTTATCGATCGCCGAGCCGATTCATGGCAACTTCGAATGCACTGTTGACCGCAGGACTTGTTGGAGCTGGCGACTAGCGAAACAATTGTGCAAACAAGGTGTTTTGGTCATTCAGACATGTGTATTTTGCAGTATACAAGATACAATAAAATTGAATTGAATGTCCTTGATTCCAGTAATGCTTGGACATGTTCCATCTTCTAATTAGATATTTACACAAAAAACGACATAGCCTTGCCGTAATAGTGTAGTAGAAATATTAACAGACTCTGAAACATTTATATTTTAAAATTACGTTGACTATTAAGCTTTTCTTCTTTTTTACATATTTGCTGCATGTATTTGTTGTTATCTAACTTCTCGTAAAAGAGGAAAAGAGAGGTTTTTATAGAGGTTTTTATTATACCTTTGTATAAATTACATATATTATGACAAAAAATACATTTTGTAATTTACCTTACATTTTATAACTAATTTTTATCAGTGATAAACTAATTATAAAATAAATTAGAACATTATGCCAAAAAAATTTGATTGTACAGTTAATTAAATTTTCATTGAATAATCATTAATTAAATGTAATCAATCTGCCTACTTTTGATTCTTCAATTAATTAATATAATATTAATGTTT